AGTGTGAGATTTCCTTGTCTCACCCTAGGGTTGAGACGGGGGGATTCCCCTATTCATAACAATGGCATGACGTCCCTTCAACAATACAATGACGTCAGGTCAACAATCCATCAACGTCCCGTCAACCCTGAATTTAGCATGTAACGTTATCATTACATTGTGTATATGATACACAATGGGAGAAGAGGGTAAAAGAAAAAGAATCATTCCCCCCCCCCCCCTTGCGGGTGAGATAGGGGAATCTCAACCCTCGGGGAAAGATTCTTAAGTTGCCGAACACTCGGCAAAGCCTCGTGTTTGGCAACTTAAGAATCCTCCCCCTCGGGTTGAGATTCTCCTATCTCACCCCCATGGGGGTGAACGATTCTATTAAACCTCAATAAGCCCGAGTGTATACATGTTCAGGGCCATAGTGTATACATGTTCAGGGCCATAGTGTATATATGTAGAGAATAGGCCATAGTGTGTTCATGTACAGGGCCATAGTGTGTATACAGGCACAGGGCCATAGAGTGTATACATGTGTAGGCCATGGTGCATGTTCATGCACAGGTCCATGGTGTGTATACATATACAGGTCCATAGAGTGTATACATGTACAGAGCCATAAAATGTATACATGTACAGGGTCAAAGAGTGTATAGGGCCATAAAATGTATAAATGTACAGAGCCAAAAAGTGTACATATACATGTACAGGGCTATAAAAATGTATACATGTACAGAGCCATAAGAGTGTATACATGTGCAGGCCATGGTGCATGTTCATGGACAGAGACATGGTGTGTATATGATACACAATGGGAGTAGAGGGTAATAGAAAAAGAATCATTCCCCTCTTGCGGGTGAGATAGGGGAATCTCAACCCTCTGGGAAAGATTCTTAAGTTGCTGGTAGACATTACACTGATTCTATCACTGGTAGTCAATACACTGATGGCTATCACTGGTAGACAACACACTGATGACTATCACTGGTAGACAATACACTGATTGCTATCACTGGTAGACTACACACTGATGGCTATCACTGGTAGACAATACCCTGATTGCTATCACTGGTAGACAATACACTGATGGCTAGCACTTGTAGTCAATACACTGATTGCTATCACTGCTAGACAACACACTGATGACTATCACTGGTAGACAATACACTGATTGCTATCACTGGTAGACGATACACTGATGGATATCACTGGTAGTCAATACACTGATTGCTATCACTTGTAGTCAATACACTGATTGCTAGCACTGGTACACAACACACTGATGACTATCACTGGTAGACAATACACTGATTGCTATCACTGGTAGACAATACACTGATGGCTATCACTGGTAGACAACACACTGATGGCTAGCACTGGGAGTCAATACACTGATGGCTATCACTTGTAGTCAATACACTGAATGCTATCACTGGTAGACAACACACTGATGGCTATCACTGGTATTCAATACACTGATTGCTATCACTGGTAGACTACACACTGATGGCTATCACTGGTAGACAACACACTGATGACTATCACTGGTAGACAATACACTGATGGCTATCACTGGTAGTCAATACCCTGATTGCTATCACTGGTAGACAACACACTGATGGCTAGCACTGGGAGTCAATACACTGATGGCTATCACTTGTAGTCAATTCACTGATTGCTATCACTGGTAGACAACACACTGATGTCTATCACTGGTAGACAATACACTGATTGCTATCACTGGTAGACTACACACTGATGGCTATCACTGGTAGACAATACAGTGATGGCTATCACTTGTAGTCAATACACTGAATGCTATCACTGGTAGACAACACACTGATGGCTATCGCTGGTAGTCAATACACTGATGGCTATCACTTGTAGTCAATTCACTGATTGCTATCACTGGTAGACAACACACTGATGACTATCACTGGTAGACAATACACTGATGGCTATAACTTGTAGTCAATACACTGATTGCTATCACTGGTAGACAACACACTGATGACTATCACTGGTAGACAATACACTGATTGCTATCACTGGTAGACAATACACTGATGGCTATCACTGGTAGACGTTACACTGATGGCTATCAGTGATAGCAATCAGTGTATAGACTACCAGTGATAGCCATGAGTGTATCGTCTACCAGGGATAGCCATCAGTGTATTGTGTACCAGTGATAGCCATCAGTGGATCGTCTACCAGTGATAGTCAACAGTGTGTTGTCTACCAGCGATAGCCATCAGTGTATCGTATACCAGTGATAGCCATCGGTGTATCGTCTACCAGTGGTAGCCATCAGTGTATTGTGTACCAGTGATAGCCATCAGTATATTGACTACCAGTGATTTCTGTGTAGAAATAAAATCTACTATAGTTTATAGTAGATTTTATTTCTACACAATTGCTATCACTGGTAGTCAATACACTGATTGCTATCACTGGTAGTCAATACACTGATTGCTATCACTGGTAGACAATACACTGATGGCTATCACTGGTAGTCAATACACTGGTTGCTATCACTGGTAGTCAATACACTGATTGCTATCACTGGTAGACAATACACTGATGGCTATCACTGGTAGACGATACACTGATGGCTATCACTGGTAGACGATACACTGATGGATATCACTGGTAGTCAATACACTGATTGCTATCACTGGTAGTCAATACACTGATGGCTATCACTGGTAGACGTTACCCTGATGGCTATCACTGGTAGACGATACCCTGATGGCTATCACTGGTAGACGATACTCTGATGGCTATCACTGGTAGTCAATACCCTGATGGCTATCACTGGTAGTCAATACACTGATGGCTGGTAGACGATACACTGATGGCTATGACTGGTAGACAATACACTGATGGCTATCACTTGTAGACGATACACTGATGGCTATCACTGGGAGGCAATACACTGATGGCTATCACTGGTAGCCGATACACTGATGGATATCACTGGTAGTCAATACACTCATTGCTATCACTGTTAGTCAATACACTGATGGCTATCACTGGTAGTCAACACACTGATGGCTATCACTGGTAGACAACACACTGATGGCTATCACTGGGAAGCAATACACTGATGGCTATCACTGGTAGTCAACACACTGATGGCTATCACTGGTAGACAATACACTGATTGCTATCACTGGTAGGCAATACACTGATGGCTATCACTGGTAGCCAATACACCGATGGCTATCACTTGTAGTCAATACACTGATTGCTATCACTCGTAGACGATACCCTGATGGCTATCACTGGTAGACGATACCCTGATGGCTATCACTGGTAGACGATACCCTGATGGCTATCACTGGTAGTCAATACACTGATGGCTGGTAGACGATACACTGATGGCTATCCCTGGTAGACGATACACTGATGGATATCGCTGGTAGTCAATACACTGATTGCTATCTCTGGTAGTCAATACACTGATGGCTATCGCTGGTAGTCAATCCACTGATTGCTATCACTGGTAGACGATACACTGATGGCTGTCACTGGTAGACGATACACTGATGGCTGTCACTGGTAGACGATACACTGATGGCTGTCACTGGTAGACGATACACTGATGGCTACCACTGGTAGACGATACACTGATGGCTACCACTGGTAGACGATACACTGATGGCTATCCCTGGTAGACGATACACTGATGGCTATCGCTGGTAGACGATACACTGATGGCTATGACTGGTAGACGATAGACTGATGGCTATCACTGGTAGACAATACACTGGTGGCTATCACTTGTAGTCAATACACTGATTGCTATCACTCGTAGACGATACCCTGATGGCTATCACTGGTAGTCAATACACTGATTATGTCACTGGTCCTTTCACAACACTTAGAACAACATACTATTCTATCACTGGTAGTCAATACACTGATGACTATCACTGGTAGACGATACACAGATGGCTATCACTGGTAGACGATACCCTGATGGATATCACTGGTAGTCAATACACGGATTGCTATCACTGGTAGTCAATACACTGATGACTATCACTGGTAGACGATACACAGATGGCTATCACTGGTAGACGATACCCTGATGGCTATCACTGGTAGTCAATACACTGATGGTTATCACTGGTAGTCAATACACTGATTGCTATCACTCGTAGACGATACCCTGATGGCTATCACTGGTAGTCAATACCCTGATGGCTATCACTGGTAGTCAATACACTGATTATGTCACTGGTCCTTTCACAACACTTAGAACAACCTACTCTGTCTCCGGATTTTACCTGTAACACAATATTTGATGTTGAAATAGATAATAGGTTACATTTTAACACATTTATAGGTGTAGAGAATAGGCCATAGTGTTTTCATGTACAGGGCCATAGTGTGTATACAGGCACAGGGCCATAGAGTGTATACATGTGTAGGCCATGGTGCATGTTCATGCACAGGTCCATGGTGTGTATACATATACAGGTCCATAGAGTGTATACATGTACAGAGCCATAAAATGTATACATGTACAGGGTCAAAGAGTGTATAGGGCCATAAAATGTATAAATGTACAGAGCCAAAAAGTGGACATATACATGTACAGTGCTATAAAAATGTATACATGTACAGAGCCATAAGAGTGTATACATGTGCAGGCCATGGTGCATGTTCATGGACAGAGACATGGTGTGTATATGATACACAATGGGAGTAGAGGGTAATAGAAAAAGAATCATTCCCCTCTTGCGGGTGAGATAGGGGAATCTCAACCCTCTGGGAAAGATTCTTAAGTTGCTGGTAGACATTACACTGATTCTATCACTGGTAGTCAATACACTGATGACTATCACTGGTAGACGATACACAGATGGCTATCACTGGTAGACGATACCCTGATGGATATCACTGGTAGTCAATACACGGATTGCTATCACTGGTAGTCAATACACTGATTCTGTCACTGGACCTTTCACAACACTTAGAACAACATACTATTCTATCACTGGTAGTCAATACACTGATGGTTATCACTGGTAGTCAATACACTGATTGCTATCTCTGGTAGTCAATACACTGATGGCTATCGCTGGTAGTCAATCCACTGATTGCTATCACTGGTAGACGATACACTGATAGCTATCACTGGTAGACGATACACTGATGGCTGTCACTGGTAGACGATACACTGATGGCTGTCACTGGTAGACGATACACTGATGGCTGTCACTGGTAGACGATACACTGATGGCTATCCCTGGTAGACGATACACTGATGGATATCACTGGTAGTCAATACACGGATTGCTATCACTGGTAGTCAATACACTCATGGCTATCACTGGTAGACGATACACTCATGCCTATCACTGGTAGTCGATACACTGATGGCTATCACTGGTAGAAGATACACTGATGGCTATCACTGGTAGATGATACACTGATGGCTATCACTGGTAGTCAACACACTGATGGCTATCACTGGTAGACAATACACTGGTGGCTATCACTTGTAGTCAATACACTGATTGCTATCACTCGTAGACGATACCCTGATGGCTATCACTGGTAGTCAATACCCTGATGGCTATCACTGGTAGTCAATACACTGATGACTATCACTGGTAGACGATACACTGATGGCTATCACTGGTAGTCAATACACTGATTCTGTCACTGGTCCTTTCACAACACTTAGAACAACATACTCTGTCTCCGGATTTTACCTGTAACACAATATTTGATGTTGAAATAGATAATAGGTTACATTTTAACACATTTATAGGTGATGTTCAAATAATTTGTGACCTAAAATACAACGTATGACACTAACAGGTAACAATCTTGAAATGAAATGTGTGACCTTCTAACAATAATAACACTTTATCTTACAACACATTACTAATTTACTTTAAAAGTATATCTTCAAGCAATAATATGCTACCCTCAACTGTAATATATCATTTTCAAATTGATTTATGTGGCCTTCAGCACACAATATGTGACCTTTACACAAAATATGTGATCTTTACACACGATATGTGACCTTTACACACAATATGTGATCTTTACAGACAATATGTGACCTTTAACACAATATGTGACCTTTACACAATATGTGGCCTTCAGCACACAATATGTGACCTTTACACACAATATGTGACCTTTAACACAATATGTGACCTTTAACACGACCTTTAACACAATATGTGACCTTTAACACAAACTATTTAACTTTTCACACACAATATATAAATCACGATATATGACCTTTAGAACATGATATATGCGACCGTCTACGCACAATACCTTCAACACAAAATATCTGACTTTAAGCACCTAATGTGACCTTCAACACATAATATATGACTGTCAACACAAAATATGAAATTTGAACACAACTTTTCTTCCAAACACATTCAGACATGAACAACAACTGGTTTAGGAGCAGGTCATACCTTGATCAATACATTTTGTAAAGTATGTCTTCTGTGTAAAGAAAAGCAATGAAAAAAGGAAAGACTTACATTACCTGTAGATGCTAGTGAAGATGACTCATGTTAAGTCTTTATAGGAATATACCTGGATGTTGTAACGATAACGATGTCATACCTGTTTGTACTTAAAAATATTATAGAATTAACATACCTGTAGATGCTAATGATGATGACCTCATGCCTGGATCTCTGTGTAAGACTATCCCAGGTATCGTAAATATTGACACAGCTGTAGGAAAGAAACTTGCCATTAAACAACGTAACTATACAGATTTTATTTCTACACATAAACTATAGTAGATTTTATTTCTACACAGAAACTATAGTAGATTTTATTTGTACAAAGCAACTATATAGATTTTATTTCAACACATAAACTACAGTAGATTTTATTTCTACACATAAACTACAGTAGATTTTATTTCTACACAGAAACTATAGTAGATTTTATTTCTACACAGAAACTATAGTACCCTGGTAGATTTTATTTCTACACACAAACTACAGTAGATTTTATTTCTACACAGAAACTATACAGATTTTATTTCTACACAGAAACTACAGTAGATTTTATTTCTACACAGAAACTATACAGATTTTATTTCTACACAGAAACTATACAGATTTTATTTCTACACAGAAACTATAGTAGATTTTATTTCTACACAGAAACTATAGTAGATTTTATTTCTACACAGAAACTATAGTAGATTTTATTTCTACACATAAACTACAGTAGATTTTATTTGTACAAAGCAACTATATAGATTTTATTTGTACAAAGCAACTATTTAGATTTCATTTCTACACAGAAACTATGGTAGATTTTATGTGTTCAAAGCAACTATATAGATTTTATTTGTACAAAGCAACTATTTAGATTTCATTTCTACACAGAAACTATGATAGATTTTATGTGTTCAAAGCAACTATATAGATTTTATGTGTACACAGCAGCTATATAGATTTTATGTGTACACAGCAGCTATAGTAGATTTTATGTGTACACAGCAGCTATATAGATTGAACACAGAAATCCTTACAGATTAACTAAAACTTATATAAGTTTTAATTTATAGGGAAGATATATATGATAGATTTAACCCTTTCACCACTGTAGATCATGATGGATTCATCCAGATCAATTCATGGAAGAAGCTACTTAAGTTACATAGCGGTGAAAGGATTAACTCACCAAAGTACCTGTAGTCTTAGTTGGTGCATAGCAACTATGAAGTAGATATAATTTATTGAACATTACAATTATAAATCCTGAATACTTACTGTCTGGGAGACGATGTACACTTGGCCCGAGGGAGTTGAAGAAGGGACATTTTGTGCCGTCTGCTGCACAACATCTTCCTTTGGCCTCAAACTAACAATTACACGACAGAGTTACAAGTTTATAATAAGCTTATACGTATATGGAAGTTATGGCCCCATTTAATAGCCAATCAGAAAGGATAACTACAAGTGATACAACATGACTGTATGCCCGGCTAGTGATGTTGCACATGTCATCAAAACGTTTGGTCCCATTTTTTGATTAATTAATAACAACAATATTGTCCAGAATTCATTCGGCCAGTCAGAAATGAAAATTCAGACATTGAGACGTTTTAAGTCGGTAAAACATTTTTTCATAACTTGGAAGTAACAGAAATGGTTGTCATTGGTCATTATTTTAAGTGATGCATACATGATCTATACATACCATCTAATTATTCATATGATGGTGATGAAAAATGATATAGCACTTTCTGGACCCCTACCCCCCTTTATTCAAAATCACATTTTTTTGCCAAGGTAAGGTTATAAATGACCCCACAAAAAATCCCCAGTGGATTTCCCAGAGGGGTGGCCAGCCGAAATATGTTCTAGAAGGTCCATACATATGACTAAAGTGAGGCCACCCTTTGACAGCAGGGGGGTGCTCACTTAACCCCTCTGGCCCCTGGGGTACATGATGATTGATGAGATTATTCATATCTGACTGGCTGATTTAGGCACAAAAACGGAAGAACTGTTGACATACTTAAGCCAATATATAACAAGGTCACAGTGACCTACTTACCATTTATGTGATCCTTTTTTTGACACTTTTATTATTTGCAGCCTGAGTGGTACAATACATCAAAATGATTATGATACCATTTGTGATTTTAGTCCCCGATTTAACCCCCACATATCTTGGAATGGTTTACAAGCTGACCTTAATTTCATGTCATATCATGATGGCATAACCCCAATGTTTGTAAATATATATATAAAAAAAGAAAATTATTGGTAATAGCCGGCGGAAGGCCCAAACTGGTACCCATCCTTTATGTAAACTATGTAAAATATCAAACACCCGACCAAGTTTGTATGAACACGACCGTCTTCGACACTCACCTTGAGAAGTTTTGCTAAGAGATCTAAGCCATCACCATCCAACCTGAAACCAAAGGATGCTATCAATTATTTACTCGTTTGGTACCCATTAGGTGTTGTATTGCCTTCTTATTGTCCAGATTTGCTTTAGTTTAACAGACCTCTGGGTCCAGTTGTTCAAAAAGTGGTTAGCTTAATAATTTTGAACAATATTTTTCAACCTTAAATAGTTTTGTCAATGGACAAGGTAAAATCTCACAATTTGCATGTAAATTTACTCTACCAAATAATTGATATCTGGAGAGTGCATTGTTATCAATTCAATAGTTGAGTTTTAAAGAAACACAAAAATAAAATTTGCTCTAATCACAGATTAAGCTAATTACCTTTTAACAGCTGGGCCCTGATCAGTGCAGAGACCTCTACAATACTATTCTTGCACAGATAAATCCAACAGGTACTAGAAGTCCATTATGTACATATTTTTTGTCATTTAAATCTTAGAAAATATAGATTTACTGCAATATTTCCTCTCAACATGTTATTTCCATGAAACAACTTTAGGCGAAATATATACACATATACAATAGCTTCTCATATATAGACTAAAATTTTATCTTTTGTCAAGATTTATTTTTTGCTATATTGCTGTGGATAGAGGCAGCAATGCCTGCATCCACTAATATTTTAGTACATTCTGTTTAATTCTCGCTTAGATACACTGTTGATTGAAGCCGATAAACGTCCGATTAAGGTTGTTTGAGCACAGGTAATTGTACCACTGGTGTTTTAAGGTTGTTTGAGCACAGGTAATTGTACCACTGGTGTTTTACCTGGGAGCCACGTTAATGAGAGGTTCTGGATCATAGTGAGGGAAGTTATAAGACAAGAAGTCCTCATTTTTGTTAATTCCTGGAAACGTTTCCTCAACAGGTGTACCCAAAATCTTGAATATATAATGCAGTTCATCCTCTACGGTAGAGCCAGGGAACAGTGGCCTGCCACAGGCCATCTCATAGAATATACAACCGACTCCCCTGTAAGATAGAGTACAGTAAATCATAGAATATACAACCCACTCCCCTGTAACATAGAGTACAGTAAATCATAGAATATACAGCCAACTCCCCTGTAACATAGAGTACAGCAAATCATAGAATATACAGCCAACTCCCCTGTAACATAGAGTACAGCAAATCATAGAATATACAGCCAACTCCCCTGTAACATAAAATACAGTTATACTAAAATATGCAGCGGACTCCCCTGTAACATAAAATACAGTAGTTAATCATAGAATATACAGCCAACTCCCCAGTAACATAGAGTACAGCAAATCATAGAATATACAGCCGACTCCCCTGTAACATAGAGTACAGTAAATCATAGAATATTTAGCCAACTCCCCTTTAACAAAAAATACAGTAAATCATAGAATATACAGCCCACTCCCCTGTAACATAGAGTACAGCAATTCATAGAATATACAGCCGACTCCCCTGTAACATAGAGTACAGTAAATCATAGAATATTTAGCCAACTCCCCTTTAACAAAAAATACAGTAAATCATAGAATATACAGCCCACTCCCCTGTAACATAGAGTACAGCAAATCATAGAATATACAGCCGACTCCCCTGTAACATAGAGTACAGCAAATCATAGAATATACAACTAACTCCCCTATAACACAAGTACATTCAGTACTAAATACACAATAAAGTGATCTGTATGACATCAATATTCTAAAGACCTTATGTCATATGAAGTCAATGAAAGGTCATTGTTAGACGTGTACACATGTGTACTTACCACATATCAATGGAGGTGGAGTATTCTGTTGATCCCAGTAAAACATCAGGAGGACGATACCTGTCAAATAAACATCGAACATTAAATCACAGTAAAACATCAGGAGGACGATACCTGTCATAGAAACATCAAACATTAAATCACAGTAAAACATCAGGAGGATGATACCTGTCATATAAACATCGCACATTAAATCACAGTAAAACATCAGGAGGACGATACCTGTCATAGAAACATTGAACATTAAATCACAGTAAAACATCAGGAGGACTATACCTGTCATAGAAACATCGCACATTAAATCACAGTAAAACATCAGGAGGACGATACCTGGCATAGAAACATCGAACATTAAATCACAGTAAAACATCATGAGGACGATACCTGTCATAGAAACATCGAACATTAAATCACAGTAAAACATCATGAGGACGATACCTGTCATAGAAACATCGAACATTAAATCACAGTAAAACATCATAAGGACGATACCTGTCATAGAAACATCAAACATTAAATCACAGTTTAGGAAGAAGATACCTGTCATATAAACATTGAACATTAAATCACAGTAAAACATCAGGAGGACGATACCTGTCATAGAAAAAGTTTTCATTTTAGCTCGCCTCTAAAACTCATGTATACGTAAGAACCTATATATAATACACTAAAGTACCAATATGTCACGAGGGCAGTATCACATTACAAATTAAACACGGAACACATGGGAGTACTTACCATAAAGTGACCACTTCATTTGAATATGTCTTGGTAGGTATTGACTTGGCCCTGGCTAAGCCTGAAAATTAAAGTGAGGCTTTAAATACTGATTGACAACTTCTCATATTTAACAAGAGGTAGTAGTCAAGTTCATTCTGGTGTAACTTCCAAGACAGAACGTCTTCTACATCCCATAATAATTTTGATAAATTTGATAATTTTGACATATCAAACAAAACCACTTGCTCATTGTTTTTTTCATCGCATCAGGACTAATTGCTTAACAGTGATATATGTAGCAAATTGAGTTTTATCGAATTCTATTCAGTATTCAGGATTTGTACAAGCATTATTTAAGGATTGACCTTCATTTTGATAGTATATACGATAGTTTGAACGAAGTTGGCAATGAACATTTTCTATGGTGCACGTTAGCACTCCATAAAGAATACGTTTGTTGCCAACTGCGTTCAAACTACCGTATACGCCATCAAAATGAAGGTCGATCCTTATATATATATTTACATCATAAATAATGTTCAAACGCTATACAAAGAAAATACAGTCGAAGTGGGTCGTGACAATGGTAACTACGGTAGCCATGGTAAGTAGGAGGATAGAGTTCCAGTGAATCTACATCTATATATGGGTAAATTTAGAAAATGGGTAGTGAACAACACTATTTTTCTTCTCTTCATCACTTAAAAAGTTTGAATAAGTAATATAGGTAGCACTTCAAACATTTTTATTTAAGTTATTACGGTCTTTATGTACACAAATTGACACCCTTCTCTGGTAGTGATGCGATCTAAAGTCGTGTTTATCGTCAAAGAATTTTGAATGTGCATCCATGGAATAAAAAGTTTGCCAGCGTCCCTTTAAATTTGTTGTATAATCGGAAATAATAGATCCCGAATATGTTTCATGTTTTTTTTATGTTGAAGGAACCAAACAATGGCTGTCATCAAACAGTTATCTTGCTGAAGCGTGAATGGCGCCATATTTGAAACAGATATCAATCCGCTGAGCCTTTTTTCATTGGGAAGGGAGGGATGTAAATATAATGATATAACTCCTTGCTGTATACATGAGGATTATGAACTAAGTGTGAAATGCGACATGTTTTGTGGCACATGAGAACTGACTCCCCCCCCCCCCCCCCCCCCCCCCCCCCCGTGCTGTAACTCTGAGGTAACAGACTTGGTGTGGTATGTGACACATATTGAACTGGTGCTGTGACCTTTAGGGTATATACCTACTCTCTTTTTCTAATACTCATATTTACAAAGTTTCACCAAATAGTGTTAAGCATTTTAGCTGTAGAAGATCATTTCAAAAAATTTAAAAACCGGACTAATTGATGTGAGTTAGACCATGAGATTTAGACTGACTTGTGTGTAGTGCGTTACACACTGTTTTCTTGTAATACTCAAATCTCAAAAGATCACCAAATAATAGAAGTGAAATGATTTGACCTTTGACCCATATCTGTGACCTTGACTTTGAAGTATTTACAGTCCTGTGCGGTAACAAAATTGTCTTTTGGTATAACACCCACAGTTCCCCTGTGAACTGAGAATTACACAATATGATAGTAACATCTCTCTTTACTTTGTATGGGAACATCATGATACCACCAACACATGGACATACCAAACCTTTGACCAAATGGAAGGGCAGAACTCAGCAGCTACTTGGTTGAGAGTGAGGTAATTATGTTGTTGAGTAAAACGTCCTGATTTCTACATGTCAGTGTAATGTCATCATGTTATTAAACACAATTCCCACAAAGGAATGACCATGGTTTGCCCATAATTTGCTCAATATGATGTACATCTCACTTGACTTAATTAAGTCATTCAGTACACAGGTAAAAAGACAACTTACCAAAGTCAGCCAATTTGAGTTCTCCTCTCTCGTTGATAAGAAGATTCTGAGGTTTCAGGTCCCTGTGTAAAACTTGTCTTTTATGACAGTAGGCTAAGCCTCGTAATAATTGGAACAAAAATATCTGTAAAAGAATAAAAAATAAATACCAAAAGGTGAGCATCTTTATGCATAAACATGTCTAAAATGGATTTCACACGATATCAAATGTTAATACCTAACAGCGAGTATGACATTGTACTAAACTAATCGGAATACATAACATTGCATAATTAAATACACATCTACACCAACTTCATAATATTATGACAAAAGTAAACATTCTATCGCGACATAGTCACTGCCATACATACATACCTTAGCATTTGTCATGCTCATTATGTTTCCACAGTCGTCCATGTACTGTTTGAGATCTTTTTCCTGCAAAAAATAACCGAGGTGAATATTAGAAATGCATAGCCATGACAACCGTATATATGGACATATTTTGATGCAATTTTGCACACACCCCCCCCCCCATAACTGCCATCTATTATTCATGCAAAATCACTGTCTATAGTCAGAAAAATCTCTGTTAGGTAAATACTGTGTACCAGGAATGTTTGCCCAGTGAAACTTTCATCCTTCTTCCTGATTTAAATTTTCCCAGTGTAAATATCGCCCTCCTTCACATAATAATAATATACAACATTTGATATAGTGCCCAATCTAGCTAACATAAGCCACTCTAAAGTGCTTAAAATAAAATAAATTTATATATTATGTTGTCTACCTATATAATGAGAAATTCACCCTTATTATACGGAGGGCAAAAATGGGAAAAATTAAACTGAGGCGAAAATTTCCTGGTATACATTATACATATTAGTTATCGAAAACACAATGTGCCTGATTTTGTTTAGAGTTACACTATATTTGTACCTACCATGTATTTCAATATGAGAGTGCGAAACTTTTATGTGTGGGAAATGTCATTAAAGGTCATGATAATTGTACCTTTTTGGCTCTACAAAATGTAATATTTTGACCTGCAGTGTTTTCAGTCCATGGAATTTTAAAACAAATTTGCTATGTCACCCTGAATGGTTTTAAAAGGTACACAAAAGCAACATTACCTTTATTTTGCCTAATATTTATTTTTCCCATAAAAATGTGTTCAACAGCGATTTCAAATTCAAGTAACACACAAACAATTATTTATGCACTGCAAGAAACTAACATATAGATTAAAACATGAATAATGTCCTTGAAAATACATACAGGAAGCTCAGTTCCTGAAATTTTGCGAGTGAGACACCCATCACCCCTCCCCAAGCCGTGTCTGTGTTGATTTCAACACATGTTTAATTCTTCCCCGGTTAAACTAAAATTCCCCCAGTATTTGATTTAATCCAAAGTTAAATTCTCCACAAACTGAATTTCCCTCTGTGTTGAATTCATCCTCTTGTTCAACAGTGAAAGGAAATAAGAGAATAAAAGTATCTATTTTGCGTACCAGGTATTTCAATTCTAGAGTTAACAACCGGTATGTGGGGGATTTCATTTAGGGCCATGTTATTTGTACCTACCAGGTATTCAAAGACTAGAGTGAGCGACTTCTCTGTGTGAATGATGTCATGTAGGGTCACAATGTTACTGTGTTTAAGCTCCCTGAGCAGCGACACTGAAACAGAGGATAAGAACAGGTGAAAAACATGTGAAAAACAATAAAATCTTAACTCAAGCACCACATATAATAGAACAAGAGTCTGACTGTAAGCTTACATATCAACGCAGTAACAGAGGCTGACTGCTTACCTACAAGTATAGTGGTTTAGGGGTAGACTAGAACTGTCCACACACCTTCCAATAAAGCAGTACAAGGGAAACTTCATATTTACATGTATAGTGGTTTAGGGGTAGACAACATACCTTTATGTACAGTGGTTAGGAGGCAGACTACATACCTTCACGTATAGCAGTGCAAGGGGCCCCTTCTTCGTGCTCCAAACGGATTTCTTTGAGGGCGACCAGGTTGTCAGTCAGTAGACTTCTGCCTTTGAACACTGTGGCATAGGTACCCTGGCAAGCAAACACAACTGTTACAATATCTGCAGTATCTCTACATAAATGTTTGATTAAGAAATAAAAGTAATGTTCCCAGAGTGCTTCCTTCAATATCATCACATTAATAGCAAATGTGTCGATAACGATTTTCGCTAGTTTTTTAACCAGGTTCATTCTGTACCTTCATGTAGGGTTATTTTCCCATCTTAAACTTGTTTTTGATATAGGTAAGTTAAATCTATAACTATACAACATAGCATAGTGTCCCCCGATGTAGATATATTGGACAAAGACTGATATCATAACATTTAAGTCTACATCTTATTTGAAGGCTTACACTAAGTGACCCTTCGGAGCCACACTTTCTCGAAAAACCAAACTGCGATCTTCATCATCTAATCTCATCATTTGATGAAACCACTAAGTTTTAGAGGAGAGGGTTTTTGAAGTGTTTGTACTCTTTGACACATTTGTTCCAACCCTCAGCTGCCTGAGTGGTCAACCCCTTCTTAAGTTTATATTCTGATCCTCATCATCTAAGTATCACTTTAGGAAATGATGTTCCAAATCCAACAGTGAATTCCAGAGAATATGTCATTTAAAAGTTTTGAACTAAGTGACCCCTAATGGTACTGCCCAGGAGCTCTTTGGAGGGGTCGCCCCCCTGGGTTTTTTTTAGGGGGAGGGGGGGGGGGGGGGGCCTNTATTCTTGAGTACAGATTCTAATTCCCACCATACGATGATGATTGCCACATCAAAATCTGACAGATGGTTTATGAGAAATTAAAAAGTATGATTATTTGAAGACAATATAGATGACAGCCAAGAGAAAAATAAAGCAGTCGAAAAAGGTCACATGTGTAATTCAGGGAAGCCAAGTTGGGCAATGTCAAAACCCCCTCTGGCTGCTTCTATAATGTTCTTTAAAACAGATGATAATGCAGAATAATAATTTAAACCAAAGCTATGATTTTTCTTGAACAATTACTGTTTATATATACAATATCACACAAACAATTTTTTTGTTTTTTATTTAGTTAACCAAACAAGGTAACAGCAGTTGATTTCCATTGCCAAAATTAACTCGTGCTATGTACCTGAAAACAATGCATTGATATACATACCTCTCCAAGTTTATCTAACTTTGTGTAAGATTCTATTTTTCCAAATCCTATTTCAGACTGTAAACAAAAAAAAGAACAAGTTACATGATAAATAAGGTCAAATTGTACAAAATCAATATTGCTGAATGTATATTCCATCAATAGACGAAACATTTGCTGTTCAATAATAGAATTTTCAGTAATGTTCATTTGTACAAGAATAAACCTCAAAATGAAACATTAAAGGTGTATAGTATTCCTAAGTTGTGTTTTTCTCCAAAAACATTTATTAAAAACTGTCCTTGACTGACCAGTGATTTACGTCGAGAGCGCCTGCTCAGCTGTCCCTCGGGACTGAGACTTTGTCTGGCCAGGAAATGTCCAGGTAGGCGCATGTCAGCAGGTAATGACAGTCGTTTAGTGACTTCCTGTAAAATATAGTATATACAGGGGGTGTTACTGTGACTTCCTGTTAAATATAGAATATACAGAGGGTGTTACTGTGAGTTCCTGTTAAATATAGAATATACAGAGGGTGTTACTGTGACTTCCTGTTAAATATAGTATATACAGAAGGTGTTCCTGTGACTTCCTGTTAAATATAGTATATACAGAGGGTGTTACTGTGACTTCCTGTTAAACATAGTATATACAGAGGGTGTTACTGTGACTTCCTGTTAAGTATAGTATATACAGAGGGTGTTACTGTGACTTCCTGTTAACTATAGAATATACAGAGGGTGTTATTGTGACTTCCTGTTAAATATAGTATATACGGAGGGTGTTACTGCGACTTCCTGGTAAATACAGAATTTACAGATCTAGACATGGGTAAAATGAAATGACAGGACATTTAAACAGGAGTGGTTTTCTGAAGGTGTATAAAATTACTGCTCTTTATATTGTTTTGTTCCAATTCAAACACTTACCCATTACTCCTGTACTTTTATAAAGGGCTGGCAGGAAAAATACAATATCTATGTAATTATTAAAAGAAAGGGGTATAATGTTTGTAGATGGAGATTCTGTATGTGAAATTCTAAAATAACGTTATACCATATCAAAATGTTTTTTAATTTGAATTAAAAATTGAATCAAATTACTATGTGCCTGTACAACAGATGATAATTATACTTGACTGTCCCTGAGCAGGTGTGAGAGTAAAGTTATACATGTAGATAGCGTGAGGAGATCCAGAGGAGATCATGTTACATAAAACATCAGTAATGAGATCCTTTATAGGGGAACAGCACACACCAGGGGGAGTATAGTGACAGTAAACAGCTGTGTACAGGTACATTATACAATTAATATTATCACTGCCAACAAAATAGAAACTGCTAAGTGTTAAGTTAAATATATAAGTGCATCCTATTGACACTTATTTATCACAGCTTTCTGAAAACCATATCAGTACATCTTGTTGTAATACAGGTCAAAGTCACTTTATCACATAATATTTAGTACATTTAATCCAAACTATTCATAAGTCACATCAGTACATCTGGTCCCACATGTCACTGTCAATATAAAGTCACATCAGTACATCTGGTCCCACATGTCACTGTCAATATAAAGTCACATCAGTACATCTGGTAATACAGGTCACTGTCAATATAAAGTCACATCAGTACATCTGGTAATACAGGTCACTGTCAATATAAAGTCACATCAGTACATCTGGTAATACAGGTCACCGTCAATATAAAGTCACAACAGTACATCTGGTAATACAGGTCACTGTCAATATAAAGTCACATCAGTACATCTGGTAATACAGGTCACTGTCAATATAAAGTCACATCAGTACATCTGGTAATACAGGTCACTGTCAATATAAAGTCACATCAGTACATCTGGTAATACAGGTCACTGTCAATATAAAGTCACATCAGTACATCTGGTAATACAGGTCACTGTCAATATAAAGTCACATCAGTACATCTGGTAATACAGGTCACTGTCAATATAAAGTCACATCAGTACATCTGGTAATACAGGTCACTGTCAATATAAAGTCACATCAGTACATCTGGTAATACAGGTCACTGTCAATATAAAGTCACATCAGTACATCTGGTAATACAGGTCACTGTCAATATAAAGCCACATCAGTACATCTGGTCCCACATGTCACTGTCAATATAAAGTCACATCAGTACATCTGGTAATACAGGTCACTGTCAATATAAAGCCACATCAGTACATCATGTCCTACAGGTCACCGTCAATATAAAGTCACAATAGTACATCTGGTAATACAGGTCACTGTCAATATAAAGTCACATCAGTACATCTGGTCCTACACGTTATAGTTCTTAAATCAAATTAATTCACTTAATTTAGTTAGTTTTACTGTACACTGTTCCTGACAGTCAATGTAATTCAAAGTGTTGACTTAAAGTAATACTGACTACCCTGGTACATTTGATTGCCTCACAAAAGGAACAAGAAAATATTTGTATAATAAAAATGTCATGCCCATGTTTGGCACCTGATTTGATGGAAATGAAGCTGTATCTACATGTAGGTCACAGTGACATACATTTATTTTGTAAATAGTCTTTCCAAGATATTTTAAGATTAGACCAACCAGCTGAAGATGTAAACACTCTGTACCCTCTCGCATATAAGTCACTATAGATCATGTGTATGGCTATTGACTTAAAATGAACAATGGGGTATCATAGGCAAGAATGTTACCTACTGATAACTCAATATAGTACAGTAAAATACTTAGTATAAGTGAATGGATTACAGGTAAGACTATTGATTTTACAGGTAAAAATGCTGACTAGTGGCGACAGGCAGAGGTAAATTTGATTACAGGTAATCAAGGCTATATGGGACGTACATATTAACATAAAACGATTCGCATGCTGCTTCCCAATTTGCAAGGTAATTTGCAGCTCAAAGAGACTTTATTAAAACTCTTTGTCTGATGACTAAATACTATTGATTATTACGATAATTACTGTCAATTGATGTAAACGAATAAAATATGTCAAGGGGAAAAATAAATCATTATGGGTACAAACATGTGTGAAAAATATGTAGTCTGTGTAGATAAAATGTATAGTCTGTGTAGACAAACATGTACAGTCTGTGTAGACAAACATGTACAGTCTGTGTAGACATGCATTTATAGTCTGTGTAGACAAACATGTACAGTCTGTGTAGACAAACATGTACAGTCTGTGTAGAAAAACATGTAGTCTGTGTAGCCAAACATGTACAGTCTGTGTAGACAAACATGTACAGTCTATGAAGACAAACATGTACAGTCTGTGTAGACAAACATGTCCAGTCTGTGTAGACAAACATGGACAGTCTGTGTAGACAGACATGTATGGTCTGTGTACACAAACATCAACAGTCTATCAAGACAAACATGTACATGTTTGTCTGCACAGGCTATACATGTTTGTCTACTCCGACTGTACATGTTTGGCTACACAGACTACATGCTTTTCTACACAGACTGAACATGTTTGTCTACACCGACCATACATGTTTGTCCACACAGACTGTACATATTTGTCTACATTGACTGTTCATGTTTGTCTACACCGACCATACATGTTTGTCCACACAGACTGTACATTTTTGACTTCACTGACTATACATGTTTATATACACAGACTATAAATGCATGTCTACACAGACTGTTCATGTTTGTCTACACTGACTGTACATGTTTATCTACACAGACTACATGCTTTTCTACACAGACTGAAAATGTTTGTCTACACAGGCCATACATGTTTGTCCACACAGACTGTACATGTATGGCTACACAGACTACATTTTTTTCTTCACAGACTGTACATGCTTGTCTACACAGACTATACATGTTTGTCTACACTGACTCTACATGTTTGTCTACCCTGACTGTACATGTTTGGCTACACAGACTTCATGTTTTTCTACACAGACCATATATGTTTGTCTACCCTGACTGTACATGTTTGGCTACACAGACTGTAGATGTTTGTCTACATAGACTGTATATGTTTGTCTACACAGCCTATATATGTTTGTCTACCCTGACTGTACATGTTTTCTACACAGACCATACATGTTTGTCTACACAAACATGTACAGTCAATGTAGACAAACATGTACAGTCTGTGTAGACAAACATGTATGGTCTGTGTAGACAAACATTACAGTCTGTGTAGACAAACATGTACAGTCTGTGTAGACAAATATGTACAGTCTGTGTAGACAAACATGTACAGTCTGTGTAGACAAACATGTACAGTCTGTGTAGACAAACATGTACAGTCTGTGTGGACAAACATGTATGGTCTGTGTAGACAAACATGTACAGTCTGTGTAGACAAACATGTACAGTCAATGTAGACAAATATGTACAGTCTTTGTATATGAAAAGTCATTCATTAAGAGTAGATGTAGTTAAAGTTGACAAACATATATTATCAGCCAGACAGACTGACAATGACACAATTATTCACATAGGATATTAACATTTCCTGGCATGAATGTGTACCTAGAAAGACCTACAAAAGTTCAAAAAATATATACACAAAAAATTGGGAAAGCAGACAGAGAGACAAAACAGATATAGACAGACAAGTACAGACAGACAGACAGACAAGTACAGACAGTCAGACAGACAAGTACAGACAGTGAGACAGACAAGTACAGACAGTCAGACAGACAGTGAGACAGACAAAACAGATATAGACAGACAAGTACAAACAGACAGACAGATAAGTACAAACAGACAAGGACAGACAGACAGACAGACAAGTACAGACAGACAGACAGACAGACAGACAGACAGACAGACAGACAGACAGACAGACAGACAGACAGACAGACAGACAGACAGACAGACAGACAGACAGACAGACAGACAGACAGACAGACAGACAGACAGACAGACAGACAGACAGACAGACAGACAGACAGACAGACAGACAGACAGACAGACAGACAGACAGACAGACAGACAGACAGACAGACAGACAGACAGACAGACAGACAGACAGACAGACAGACAGAGAGACAGACAAATGAGAATTGAAAGAGACGACATACTGTCCGCTATGTCAAAAGAAGCAGAGACAAACCTAGCAGTATACAGGTGTACAGGATGGAAAGTAAAAGTGGATGATCAGCCAGCATACGATATACCATTTGGCAGTAGAGCTGGTTACCTTTTGGAGTTGCACTAATGTTTCTCCTTCATCAGAATCTATATCCAACTCAGAATCAGAACGCTCCATTCTCAGACTGCCTGGCTAGTCAATACTAGCGCACACATTATATGACTCTGTGCAGATACAGGGTGTCCGGCTAACACACCAGTTCTCTAGACAGTGGCCAGATCAGGCCTATAACGTGGAGATTGTGTAACAGTCCCTGTACCTTACCACAATTGTACAATTGTCTGACTTAACTTAACAACCCAACATTATAAATACATGCCTGAGCAATTACGAACATACAATTTGATCTCAATAATAAACATGAAAGAAGGATGTGTTGTATCCCTGTCCGGCCTGACTAGTGTGTATACAGAAGGCTATATAGCAAGGGCTTCCCCACATCATTAGCACTTTCAGGCATTTCAAACTTTTAAACAATGCAGGCAACAAGTTGGCATGGTTACAATGATGTAAAAACTGCTGAAGGTCATGTATATTATGTCTGTGTGTGTGTCATTTTCATAGCACACATATAATATGTCTGTGTGTTGACATACAAACTGGTGTCTGACTTATATTTATCTGATATTTATTGATATATAAACTGGAGTGTTATAATAGTCTGGATGTCATTACCTGTCTACTGTAGTTTGGGTGCCTTGTCTAACAGACTTGCATGTGGCTATAGTCTAATGTTACTACATACATATTTTATATCAGTGTGCTTACATTCTGATGTAATTATAAAACATTGTTTCAGGCTGTAAATCTGAAAGCTGTTCCCTCCTGTTTGATTTTTTGCTATCTTCCCTATTAAATTAGAAGGCAAATTCAACACAAGGCAAACTCCTGGTATATATATATAGTAACTAAACAGAATTGTATCAGACTATAAGTGGGTCAATACAACATTGGCTGAATTTGTTTTAAAGTTCACAAGGCAAAATAGAAATTGGCAGGGAAGAACTATTATGGTTTATGTACACTTCTGCAAGTCTATGTCAAACAGCCAAGTCCTACATACATTTCAATCAACTGGAACCAAGTACATATCTCATATTATATAGTACTTTCATAATATGGTGATTTTTTTCTTATCACTGCTCTCACACAATCCAGTACTGTTCATGTATCACACAGTAATGTTCTCATATCACACAGAACTGTTCTCATATCACACATAAATGTTCTCACATCAAACAGAACTGTTCTCATCTCACGCAGTACTGTTCTCGTATCATACAGTACTGTTCTCAAATAACACAGTACTGTTCTCACATAACACAGTACTGTTCTACAGTACTGTTCTCACTTCACACAGTACTGTTCTCAAATAACACAGTACTGTTCTCACAAAACACAGTACTGTTCTCACATAACACAGTACTGTTCTACAGTACTGTTCTCACTTCACACAGTACTGTTCTCAAATAACACAGTACTGTTCTCACAAAACACAGTACTGTTCTCACATAACACAGTACTGTTCTACAGTACTGTTCTCACTTCACACAGTACTGTTCTCAAATAACACAGTACTGTTCTCACAAAACACAGTACTGTTCTCACATCACACAGTACTGTTCTCAAATCACACAGTAATGTTCTCAAATCACACAGTACTGTTTCTCACATCACACAATACTGCTCTCACATCACAAAGTTACTGTTCTCATATCATGCATGACTGCTCTCACATCACACAGTACTGTTCTCACATAACACAGTAACTGTTCTCACATCACACATGACTGCTCTCACATCACACAGTACTGTTCTCACATCACACATTACTGCTCTCACAACACACAGTAAGTATATTACATCACACAGTAGTTCTCACATCACATAGTACTGTTCTCATATCATGCACGACTGCTCTCACACCACACAGTACTGTTCTCACATCACACTGGACTGTTCTCACATCACTCAGTACTGTTCTCATATCACACATGACTAATCTCACAACTTACAATACTGTATAACTTCACTAAGTTCTGCTTTTACATGACACAGTACTGTTCTCACATTACACAGTACTGTTCTCACATCACACAGTACTGTCCTCACATCACACATGACTGCTCTCACAACACACAGTACTATTCTCGCATCACATAATTACTGTTCTCACATCACACATAACTGTCTTCACATATCACATATGACTGCTCTCACAACACACAGTACTGTTCTCACATCACACAGTACTGTTTTCCCATCAGACAGTACTGTTTTCCCATCAGACAGTACTGTTCTCACATCACACAGTACTGTTTTCCCATCACACAGTACTGTTTCTCACATCACACAATACTGCTCTCACATCACAAAGTTACAGTTCTCATATCACATATGACTGCTCTCACATCATACAGTACCTTTCTCACATCATACAGTACTGTTCTCATATCACGCATGACTGCTCTCACACCACACAGTAAGTATATTACATCACACAGTAGCTCTCACATCACATAGTACTGTTCTCACATCACTCAGTACTGTTCTCATATCACACATGACTAATCTCACAACTTACAATACTGTATAACTTCACTAAGTTCTGCTTTTACATGACACAGTACTGTTCTCACATTACACAGTACTGTTCTCACATCACACAGTACTGTCCTCACATCACACATGACTGCTCTCACAACACACAGTACTATTCTCGCATCACATAATTACTATTCTCACATCACACATAACTGTCTTCACATATCACATATGACTGCTCTCACAACACACAGTACTGTTCTCACATCACACAGTACTGTTCTCAAATCACACAGTACTGTTTTCCCATCAGACAGTACTGTTTTCACAACACACATGACTGCTCTGATAGTACACTACAGTTCTAGCAATACCTAGTAATATACTGTCAATATACATTTCTTTTAACATTGTTAAATTAAATCTGCAATGAGTGTATTCAACCTAGAAAACATTCTAATGAATAAACAAGGATATACAGAAATCTGCCATGTAATATTTTATGTGACCTTTGACCTAACTATTATCTGATTTATAGTAGTTCGTTATTGCCTTTGCCTTCCATTGAAGATCTTTAAATGCAGTCAAGTTTAACATCCATGTTGATTTCCCTTAGAAGCAATCAGGACACTTTAGGCATGTTTGTTGTGTATACATCAAACCGGATGTAAGGGATTGCATTTAACACGAACATATGGTTTCATCAATAGTTATACAATGTTCACAAAAACATACAGACAGAAATCAGACATGGCCTTCATAGTCCTGTTATGAAAGATTTGAGAGATTATAATACTGATCACTTTACCTGGTTGTATCGCCTCTGTCGATGCCGGAGTTTGACGGGGGACACCATGTCCTCTCGCTCACTTGACGTTCCCGAGATCTCCTCACTCTCACCATCAGATGTGATCCGAAGGTTTTCATGAACTATTCCTATAATATACAAGAATATAAATTTATTTTCTCAGTATACTGAACCTTGAATCAAAATCACATCACGCGTCATAACAGGTTTTTCATTTAGAACTGCAGGCAGCAGGCCAAAATGATTGGTTCAGTTCCGATGCTGGCCAGTTCAAAAAAAAAATCATGTATATATCTCATACGTAATATTAGAAAAGATGGCTGGTTAGAAATGTCATTTGATCGGAATGAGTGTTCAAATACAAGTTACAGAAAATCCTGCATATTATTTACTTTTCATCTATGCAGGATTGGACATCCAATTTGCTGTTTAGATATTTTTTACATCTGTACATGTGCCAGTAGTCATGTAGACATTCTCACATAACCAGGTGATTAATATGTACGCAGATGTTAAAAGAAGTTCTCCCATCAAAAGAAAAATTGTTTACACAGTTTTAATGTAAATGAATCAGGCCTGCCAGAATAACCATGGTTACCAGTATACAACATATGTATGTAACCATGGGAAGAATAACAACTTCACAAAAGAGTGAAAATTACATGCTAATAATATGTGTCCTGTTTGTAAGCCATTTCAATGTATCAACTGCATGAATAAAGTTAATATAACATATTGTTAATCATATACATGTAGATAAATAAATGCAACTTTCTAATTATATATACATGTCTAATCATTTCAGAATACTGTATGGAAGGGTCTTTTTCATGGGGTCTTTTTTCTTATAACATAATAAATTCTGGTCTCCTTTTATGTTCTTTTATCAAAATACAAAGAAATACTTTAATTCTGAAAATTGCCAAGAATAGCAAAGATATTAGGTAAATTATTCACATTTCTGTTATATATGTTGTACAGATGACTTAAATGGTGAACTGATGACAAAACATATGGTTTTATAAACATTTCACATCATCAACAGTGTTTTTTTCTACTTGAATTTTACAACAGCCTGTTTCTACATCATTTGGGAAAATATATTTTTATTGAAACTGGAAAGATATCCCTCGTTGTTTTTCTTTTTCATTTATGAAAATTTAGCATGTTTTGTTAGGGGAAACAGTTTTTATTCGGTTGAAGCATTTTAGCTAGATCTATAGGCATGTTTACTTATTTGTGTTTAATTTAGAAATAGTGTTTTGGAGTTTTCTTAAGTAACCTAAATCAAGACATTACAACACATATGAGACACCATGGTTACCATTGATTTAAGGTAAACAAAGTGGCTCCTTGGGAGGTTACTCGCCTCACATACATGTAGAGACGCTATATATAGTCACTGACACAAACACAATCAACAAACATCCAGTTGTGTTAACATAACAGTTATACAGTATCACCAATCATCTCTTTACTGTCGGGCTACCGTTATGTTATTCACGAGGTCTGTAAATTACCTGGGAGCAATTAGTCCCATCTACGACAGTTTTACAGTCTCTTTAATTATGTGTAACATGCATTGTAAAATTGGACATGTTGCAAAATATACTGATCAGAATTTGAATATATACAATGTACTATATTTCATGTGAGTATTCCGAATTTTCTTCATTCCGTAATGTTGACTAACCAATTAACCCTATCACACTTGTGTGTGTGGGCTATAATATGCACAAACAGTTGTTGAATTGCATGAGTGTTACACAATGTGATGGGGATGTGCCCGCAATATTTGCAGCATGTGTACCAATATTTTTCGTACATTTTACATGAGCGATCGCCAAACAAAATATTCCCAGGTACAACCCCTTCATTATAGATTATCTGTATGTTCTCAAGGTACAACCTCATCACTCTAGTTACCTGTGTATTCCAAGGTACTACCTCATCACTCTAGTTACCTGTGTATTCCAAGGTCCTACCTCATCACTCTAGTTACCTGTGTATTCCAAGGTACTATCTCATCACTCTAGTTACCTGTATGTTCTCAAGGTACTACCTCATCATTCTAGTTACCTGTGTATTCCAAGGTACTACCTCATCACTGTAGGTTACCTGTGTATTCCAAGGTACTACCTCAATACTATAGGTTATCTGTGTATTCCAAGGTACTACCTCATCACTCTAGTTACCTGTATGTTCTCAAGGCACAACCTCATCACTCTAGTTACCTGTATGTTCTCAAGGTACTACCTCATATCTATAGGTTACCTGTAAGTTCTCTAGGTACTACCTCATCACTGTAGGTTACCTGTGTATTCCAAGGTACTACCTCATCACTCTAGTTACCTGAATGTTCTCAAGGTACTACCTCATGACTATAGGTTACCTGTAAGTTCTCAAGGTACTACCTCATCACTGTAGGTTACCTGTGTATTCCAAGGTACTACCTCATCACTATAGGTTACCTGTAAGTCTCAAGGTACAACCTCATCACTCTAGTTACCTGTGTATTCCAAGGTACTACCTCATCACTGTAGTTACCTGTATGTTCTCAAGGTACAACCTCATCACTCTAGTTACCTGTATGTTCTCACTCTAGTTACCTGTATGTTCTCAAGGTACAACCTCATCATTCTAGTTACCTGTATGTTCTCAAGGTACTACCTCATCACTCTAGTTACCTGTATGTTCTCAAGGTACTACCTTATCACTCTAGTTACCTGTATGTTCTCAAGGTACTACCTCATCACTATTGGTTATCTGTAAGTTCTCAAGGTACTACCTCATCACTCTAGTTACCTGTGTATTCCAAGGTACTACCTCATCACTCTAGTTACCTGTTAGTTCTCAAGGTACTACCTCATCACTCTAGTTACCTGTAAGTTCTCAAGGTACTACCTTATCACTCTAGTTACCTGTGTAATCTAAGGTACAACCTCATCACTCAAGATTACCTGGGTATTCCATTAAAGGTACAACCTCATCACTCTAGTTACCTGTGTAATCTAAGGTACAACCTCATTACTCTAGTTACCTGTGTAATCTAAGGTTCAACCTCATCACTCTAGGTTACCTGTGTAATCTAAGGAACAACCTCATCACTCTAGTTACCTGGGTAATCTAAGGTACAACCTCATCACTCTAGGTTACCTGTGTAATCTAAGGTAGAACCTCATCACTCTAGTTACCTGTGCCTGGAAGTCTAAAGGTACAACCTCATCACTCTAGTTCCCTGTGTAATCTAAGGTACAACCTCATTACTCTAGTTACCTGTGTAATCTAAGTTACAACCTCATCACTCAAGATTACCAGGGTATTCCATTAAAGGTACAACCTCATCCCTCTAGTTACCTGTGTAATCTAAGGTTCAACCTCATCACTCTAGGTTACCTGTGTAATCTAAGGTACAACCTCATTACTCTAGTTACCTGTGTAATCTAAGTTACAACCTCATCACTCAAGATTACCTGGGTATTACATTAAAGGTACAACCTCATCACTCTAGATACCTGTGTATTCCAAGGTACAACCTCATCACTCTAGTTACCTGTGCCTGGAAGTCTAAAGGTACAACCTCATCACTCTAGATACCTGTGTATTCCAAGGTACAACCTCATCACTCTAGTTGCCTGTGTAATCTAAGGTACAACCTCATCACTCTAGGTTACCTGTGTAATCTAAGGAACAACCTCATCACTCTAGTTACCTGGGTAATCTAAGGTACAACCTCATCACTCAAGATTACGTACTACCTCATCACTCTAGTTACCTGTTAGTTCTCAAGGTACTACCTCATCACTCTAGTTCCCTGTATATTCACAAGGTTCAACCTCATCACTCTATATTTACCTGTATATACTCCCAAGGTTCAACCACAATACTCTAGTTACCTGTATATACTCCCAAGGATCAACCTCATCACTCTAGTTACCTGTGTTATCTAAGGTACAACCTCATCACTCTAGATACCTGTGTATTCCAAGGTACAACCTCATCACTCTAGTTTCCTGTGTAATCTAAGGTACAACCTCATCCCTCTAGTTACCTGTATATTCCCAAGGTTCAATCTTATCACTCTACATTATAGTTACCTGTAATTTCCCAGGTTCAATCTCATCACTCTAGTTGTACCTGTATACAACTGTTAGTTCTCAAGGTACTACCTCATCACTCTAGTTCCCTGTATATACTCACAAGGTTCAACCTCATCACTCTATAGATACCTGTATATACTCCCAAGGTTCATCCTTATCACTTTATAGTTTCCTGTATATTCCGTAGGTTCAACCTCATCACTCTAGTTACTTGTATATACTCCCAAGGTTCAACCTTATCACTCTACATTATAGTTACCTGTAATTTCCCAGGTTCAATCTCATCACTCTAGTTGTACCTGTATACAACCTCATCACTCTAATTTCACGTATATTCTGTACAACCTCATCACTCTAGTTACCTGTATAATCTAAGGTACAACCTCATCACTCTAGATACCTGTGTATTCCAAGGTACAACCTCATCACTCTAGTTTCCTGTGTAATCTAAGGTACAACCTCATTACTCTAGTTACCTGTGTAATCTAAGTTACAACCTCATCACTCAAGATTACCTGGGTATTCCATTAAAGGTACAACCTCATCCCTCTAGTTACCTGTATATTCCCAAGGTTCAATCTTATCACTCTACATTATAGTTACCTGTAATTTCCCAGGTTCAATCTCATCACTCTAGTTGTACCTGTATACAACCTCATCACTCTAATTTCACGTATATTCTGTACAACCACACCACTCTAGTTACCTGTATATACTCACACGGTTCAACCTCATCACTCTAGTTACCATATATACTCCCAAGGTACAACCTTATCACTCTATAGTTGCCTGTATATACTCCCAAGGTTCAACATCATCACTCTATAGTTACCTGTATATACTCCCAAGGGTCAACCTCATCACTCTATAGTTACCTGTATATCCTCCCCAGGTTCAACCTCATCACTCTAGTTACTTGTATATACTCCCAAGGTTCAACCTCACCCCTCTATAGTTACCTGTATATACTCCCAAGGATCAACCTCATCACTCTAGTTACCTGTGTAATCTAAGGTTCAACCTCATCACTCTAGGTTACCTGTGTAATCTAAGGTACAACCTCATCTCTCAAGATTACCTGGGTATTCCATTAAAGGAACAACCTCATCACTCTAGTTACCTGTATGTTCTCAAGGTACAACCTCATCACTCTAGTTTCCTGTGTAATCTAAGGTACAACCTCATCAATCTAGGTTACCTGTGTAATCTAAGGTATAACCTCATCACTCTAGTTACCTGTATAAACTCCCAAGGTTCAACCTCATCTCTCTAGTTACCTTATATACGCCCAATGTACAACCTTATCACTCTATAGTTACCTGTATATAATCCCAAGGTTCACCCACGCTACTCTAGTTACCTGTATATACTCCCTATTCTAAGGTACAATCTCATCACTTTTGGTTACCTGTATATTCCCAAGGTTCAACCTTATCACTCTACATTATAGTTACCTGTAATTTCCCAGGTTCAATCTCATCACTCTAGTTGTACCTGTATACAACCTCATCACTCTAATTTCACGTATATTCTGTACAACCACACCACTCTAGTTACCTGTAAGGTACTACCTCATCACTCTAGTTGCCTGTATGTTCTCAAGGTACTACCTCATCACTCTAGTTCCCTGTATATTCACAAGGTTCAACCTCATCACTCTATATTTACCTGTATATACTCCCAAGGTTCAACATCATCACTCTATAGTTACCTGTATAAACTCCCAAGGTTCAACCTCATCACTCTACTTACCTGTATATACTCCCAAGGTTCACCCACACCACTCTAGTTACCTGTATATACTCCCAAGGTTCAACCACACTACTCTAGTTACCTGTATATAATCCCAAGGTTCAACCACACTACTCTAGTTACCTGTATATACTCCCAAGGTTCAACCTCATCACTCTATAGTTACCTATATATACTCCCAAGGTTCAACCACACCACCCTAGTTACCTGTATATACTCCCAAGGTTCAACCTCATCACTCTATAGTTACCTGTATATACTCCCAAGGTTCAACCACACCACCCTAGTTACCTGTATATACTCCCAAGGTTCAACCTCATCACTCTAGTTTTCTGTATATACTCCCAAGGGTCAACCTCATCACTCTATAGCACCTGTATATACTCCCAAGGTGCAACCTCATCACTCTAGATACCTGTATATACTCCCGTATATTCTGTACAACCTCATCACTCTAGTTTTCTGTATATACTCCCAAGGTTAAACCACATCACTCTACATTGTAGTTACCTGTAATTTCCCAGGTTCAACCTCATCACCCTAGTTACCTGTACATACTCCCAAGGTTCAACCACATCACTCTAGTTACCTGTATATACTCCCAAGGTTCAACCTCATCACTCTATAGTACCTGTATATACTCCCAAGGTTCAACCACATCACTCTACATTGTAGTTACCTGTAATTTCCCAGGTTCAACCTCATCACTCTTGGTTACCTGTTTATTCCCAAGGTTTAAAGACTATAACAGAATGATTTACCTAGCCGTGTGCTGGATGGAATGGTTGAGCACCTCTCCTCTGATCTACTATTTCTTGCAGCATCACAATTACTACAACCGTTTATGCTGTCAGGCCTGTCTGAGCCTACTCCATCCTTTGTCCACAGGTTACGAAGACGATTGATAAAAGATAGAGACTGACTGATTCCCTTCCTTTTCTCCAGTGTTTGCAATTTGATGACTTTCCTTGGAGGTAAACCTCTTCTGCCAGTGTTATTCAGACTGAACAAAGACATGACTCTGAGCAATTAAAATTAAATCACGCGACAGACCCAACAAGGTCTGTTATGTGCTTATATAAGTTATATGTCACAACATATAAAACATTTTTCTACCCCAAATGGATCTCTCAATCGACACACAGCTCTATGCCCGCCTTATAGTTTCCACTTCCTTCCATATAGGAAATGCATCAAGTCATATATATAAACATTGTCCATGGTATTGTGTCTACCAGGTCCAGTCAAGTACACCAGGTCATATATATACACTTTCCTGGTGAATGTATGGTCCAGTGAAGTGCATCAAGTTCCTGTTCCAGTTAATGTTGTACTGATACAACACATGGCTAGTGTGTACTTTCAGTTATCACTCCGCTCAATAAGCTGTCCAGGGGGATTAGCTCAGGTCATGGCGTGGTCAATAATTAGCGACAAATAGCCAGGTCGTTATCACAGACAGAGTAAGACTGTGACGGTCCAGCAGACTGAGGCAAATGATGAACACACTCTAATCCTATGGCATCAATAATCACCGCCCACAATGATCCCACAGGGTGTCATCAACATTAATTGAATATTTCAATCTCAATATTGTTAGCGATACGTAACCTCTAACAGCATTATATAATTACCACCTATAGACACATGCACATGACTGTAGGAGTCCTTCTTGTCTCCCAGGTTGAACAATGTAATGTTTCCTGTGGCTGACTCCAGCTTTGTAATTAAACAAGATGATCAGAGATGCAGAAGTGATTGGGCTCTAGGTTGATTTAGATCCTGATCTTAGAATCCAGAATATTTTTTGTCCATGCCTCAGAATCCAGAGTACACTTAATGTCCGGCCTCAGAATCAAGGATATGCTTTATGTCCATGCATAAGAATCCAGCATAAGAGTACACCTTATGTCCAGCATCAGAATCCAGAATATTTTATGTCCAGCCTCAGAATCAAGGATATACTTTATGTCCAGCCTCAGAATCCAGAATATTTTTTATGTCCAGCCTCAGTATCCAAATACTTCATATCCATGCTTCAGAATCCAAAATATTCAGATCTAGGTATTAAAACCTAGGGTCTAGTTCTAATGATTCCAGTGTACTTTATTAAGTACTATCTAGTTAACACACTTGGTAATACTGTTTTAGCTATCACAATGATGTCAAGTCTGAGACAGACTAAGTACGTACTGCCTGATCACCTACAGTCACTGATGTTTACACATTTACAAACGGACTCCAAGCTAAACAGCCAAAACTACCATTTAACCTGCAGTCATTGCTTGGACTGGACATGATACTGTAACATGAGGAGAGGATTTGGACAGGGTTGCCTTAGTGTGAGAAGTAAACATGAAGCCTATCCTGTTACATGTGTAAGTGTATGAGTCTCTGACCTCATTCACCTCTCCCCTCCAACCTCAGGATCAGCCTGTCTTATCTCTCCACTCTGAAAACTTCCCAGAGACTCCCTCTGAAGTTGGCAGTACTGGGTCTGGCAGTGAAGATCTGACAACAGGTACATGTAGACTGACACCCCTCCAGGGGTACTTAAACACTAAAAACAGATGGTTCTCAGTCTTAAAACCGAGGGGTACCTGAAAGACTGACACTCCCCCCTTACCTACACAGACAGATTGTGCTGACTCTCCTTAGCCACCCCTTCCCCACACAGACAGACGGTGCTTACTCCCCTTTAAGTCACCCCTTCCCTATAGCTACCTTCACTGACAGACAGTGCATGTTCATTGATGATGATCACATAGATAAATGAGAGTACCAAAAATTGATCACAAAACCATCATTTCTTTTCATTCCTTGAAACTTAAGAGGATGACTTTTTAAGTTTTATATAAAAATGATAATGAAAGAGTTCTTACAAATGTAATTAGCACCTGAGCCTCCAGTCAGATATTTATAGAGCACTCTGACATCACTGATTTTTGTAAATCCCAAACCTGGAACAGATCACAGCTTGAATTTTGCAATATCTTACCCTTCAAGTGACTAAATCTTTACTGGCATCTCAACATTTTATAATGATCTTCGGAAATTGTACGAGTACAAGTATTTCTATAATCAGTTGTATTTTACATCCAATAATTAGCAATGTTCATTTATGGCCAAGCCAGGTTTTGGTGGTGGAGGATAACCAGAGTACCCAGAGAAAAATCTGAGGCCAGTTGTGAATACCCCACATAGACCTTGAACCTGTGACTCAGTGGTGGAGCCATCAGATGCCTTGACCACTCGGCCACCTCAGCTCCTGTAGAGTCTAACTTAATTCTTATTGTATGAATTGGCACAGTCTTTGCATGCATTACTGTTTCTGCTCCTGTAGAGTCTAACTTAATTCTTATTGTATGAATTGGCAGTCTTTGCATGCATTATTTTTTCTATGTCAACAAATAGCTCATCTTTAGTATGTCTTATGATGATGCCTAACAGACTAGGCATTCTCAGGCTACATCATTGAAAAAAGTGAACTGTTGTCATGTGTGAAGATTTAAGATTATTTTTGAGAAGAGTTATCCATTTTCAGTAATGATCTTATCCATGTCCTCCTTCCTTAACTAGCATGACATAAGATGGAGCTCATACACTGTCACGAATCAGTATCACATGACTACCATTGCATGGTGTTCCCCCAGTCAGTGGTACCTAGAATACATCATATGGTATTTTGTCATCTCTCCCCCCTCCCATCAACACTCAGTGATAAACACTCTAACATTGTATCATGCTCACTTCCCTCAATACTCAGTAGTAACATACACTGACTAGTTGTGTTATACCTCTCCCCATCCTCCCCAAGTACAAGACTGATGTGAAATGAAGTTATTGCGCACCCTCCCCCAAAACCACTCAGTAGTGGTATACACAGACTGTGCGAAATGGTGCCCCCCCCCCCACCCCCCCAAAAAAAAAAGTACTTAGTTGTACACAGACTGCTGTTATCCCCCCAAACTACTCAGCTGCTAACGGAACTGAATTGGGCCGATCTGGTCGGCAACCAGGTAGCTCAATTGGTAGAGCGTCTGTCTAGAGTTAGGAGGGTCCCAGGCTCAAACCCTGGTCTGGCCGTGCATTTTGCTACTACGGTTCCATTGGTGCTTGTGACCAACCCTTGTTTCAAACATTTGGTGTATGCTTGGCAAGGGGATACCTGAACCTGGGTTTTAAATAGTTATGTCTTCGTGGGTTAAGACTTATAAAAAAGAAGGAGGAATGTAGCAGAACTGGACTTGGGTCAATCATTAGCCACCTGCAGGTTGCTCAATTTGTAGGGTATCCGTCTAGAGTTCAGAGTGTCCCGGGTTTCGAACCCCAGTCTGGCCATGCATTTTTCCTCTCTTGTTACAGTACCTAGCTATATAGACTTAAAGTAACCCCCACAACGTAATGGTACATTTTTGGTTTATACTCCCTCACCACTCAGTAGTATCAAGACTAAAATTGTATGGTGGTCATGCACCCCCCTCACAATTTAACTCAGTGACCAGTACTTAGACTAAAATTATATAATATTCAGAAGTCTTCCCTTCAACACCTATTTTGTTTCCAACAGCTACATTGAACAACATGCAGTATGTGTCTTGTGTTCGGGAACAATCTAGTTCTTTAGTGTAAGTATGCTCTACCCATATATCAGTCTGACAGGGTTCCTGCAACAATTCTAAATTCATGTGTGAGTTTGCCAGAGATGGTTTGCACTGTCCTGGATTAATCCATTCATTCCTTGAACTGGGTTTGGCAAGGAGTAGTTACACACACCAGGTGCTCTGTAACTACCTCATCTGATAAGGCTGGGGGCTCCAGCTCTCATTCATGTTTCCACTAGGCCTACAGCTGATCACTGGCTTGGGGGAATCTAGGCCACAAGGTAATCTGTTATGAAATGTAATACCTCTCCCCCACACCACCATCACACACTGGCAGAATCACAGGGTGGTACAGCTCTGCTAGTGATCTCATGATCATGACAAAGAGGTACAGTCAAAAGCACAGGGTGGTACAGCCCCACTAGTGATCTAATGACAAAGACCTACTAAGTCAGAATCACAGGGTGGTACAGCCCTGCTAGTGATTTCATGACAAAGAGGTACAGTCAAAATCACAGGGTTTTACAGCTCTGCTAGTGAGCTCATGACAAAGAGGTACAGTCAAAAGCACAGGGTGGTACAGCCCCACTAGTGATCTAATGACAAAGAGGTGAAGTCAGAATCATAGGGTGGTACTAGTACAGGCCTGAAAGTGATTTCATGACAAAGAGGTACAGTCAGAATCACAGGATGGTACAGCCCTGAAAGTGATTTCATGACAAAGAGGTACAATCAGAATCACAGGGTGGTACAGCCCCACTAGTGATCTAATGACAAAGACCTACTAAGTCAGAATCACAGGGTGGTACAGCCCTGCTAGTGATTTCATGATCATGACAAAGAGGTACAGTCAGAATCACAGGGTGGAACAGCCCTGCCGTGGTAGTAGGGCTGTAACGATATCTCGATACTACAATACATATCGGTATACATAACCACGATACGATACCCTTAGTATCATGATACCTTAAATTACTAACTATGACAAGTTATCACCCCTGCGCGCTCTCTAAACCATACTAACAAATGTAAAACATGGCTGAGAGGAAACTAACGGCACCCTCTGTCACATTCAAGTCACCCGTATGGCGTCATTTTGGATTTCCTTCTGAGACAGTTGATGGAAAAGAAGTCATGAACAAACAATTAGCGGGTTGCAACGAACCTTTCTATACATCTCAAACGGCATCATCACGATGTAAACTTACCGGAGACCACACACTGCAGACGAAAAACTGGCGACGAATCGGGTTCGACACAGGAATCAAAACAATTAAAGATAAGTGACAGTGTTTTGTATTTCTTATGATATTATTATATGTATCGAGATAGGTATCGTATCGTGGGTCCTGTATTGAGATACGTATCGTACCGTGGGGAAAAGTATCGTTACAGCCCTACGTGCTATAGTGATCTCGTGACAAAGATGTACTTAGTCAAAATCACAGGGTGGTACACCCGTGCAAGTGTTTTCATGACAAAGACATACAAAATCAGAATCACAGGATGGTATAGCCATGCTAGTGATCTCATGACAAAGAGGTATGAATTAATATAAGTCAGACTTACAGGATGGGACAGCCCCACTAGTGATCTCATCACAAAGAGGTACAGTCAGAATCAAAGGGTGGTACAGACATGCGAGTGATATAATGACAAAGACATACAAATTCAAAACACAGAGCGGTACAGCTCCATTAGTGATCACAAGACTAAGACATACAAAGTCAGAAACACAGGGTGGTACAGCTCCACTAGTGATTACAAGACTAAGACATAACACATCTGTGACTGCAGGCCCAGACCATTGTCAGACTAACTTAACAATGGATCATTGATCACTATGTGAGACCAGCATACATATACATGTATATTTCAGAACAGTTTTGGTTTGGTTTGTTTGTATTTTACGTCCTATTAACAGCTATGGTCATTTAAAGACTTGCCAGGTTTTG